TGGTTCAGCCTGAATCAGAAGCGGAGAGGCACCTATTACTGCCACCTAAGAACTCAGAGTCCCAGCTCAGGCCAGAAGAGGGTCATAAGGCAGAGAAAGCCCACAGCAGACCCAGCCTTATGGTGCATGTGGCCTGACACTTGAGGCCCAGAAGGATCTAGGCTGATGGGAGGACAAGCCCCTCTCCCCTTTATATCCCTTTATACCAGCAGTAGGGCCACAGGCTGGACCACCCTGCTTGAGGGGGGAGCTGGGACCAGTGTTTATGCAACTGTGGGGAGGCCACAGCCGGGCTGGCAATGCTGCCTGCCCAGCACCGGTGCTGACTCAGCAGAGCCTCCCAGCAAGTCCACCACAAACACACAGACAAGCACAGTCACACACAGAAGCAAACATACATGTACATATGCACAGATAAATGAGCACACATGAACCCACATATTCTCAGTCATTCATGCATACAACGTGCATAAGAATACAATCCCTGACATATGCACACTTGTGTACATAGAAGTGTGTGCATGCACTCGTGCATACACACACACACACACACACACACACACACACACACACGCACAGAGGACCATACCAAAACTCACGCATTGTCTCCACAACTAGACGCACTGGATAATGGTGAACACGGTGAAGGGTGTCTTCAGCAGCTGAGTGTCACCTCCCGTGGACTGTGGTCCTATCTGAATACAAAAGAGAAAGAAAATGGAGCACTGCCATTCAGCTCTGTTTCCTGACTGTGGACACATGTCACCTCATAACGATGACACCACACCTTCCCCATCATGATGAACTGAACTCTCAAACTGTGAGCCAGAACAAATCCTCCCTTCCTTAGGTGACACTTGTCAGGTATTTTGTCACAGAAGCGAGCAGAGTAGTAACTAACACACTCCCCAAACCAGACTCCCCAGGACCTACCTTCAATAGCCCTAGTATGCCCCACCTGGCCTACTACACAGGAAGCCCAGCAGGGCAGGGCCGCTGTGTCAGGGAGAAACATATGAAATGCTCCCTGCCCCTCCCACCAAGCCAAGGCAAGCACTCAGACTGCCTCTTGGAGATGTGGGGTGAGGGGTGAGGGGTTAGCTTGGAGATCTAGGAGATTTAGAGGTACCAGATGAGGAGCAGACTCTTTCGGAGTAGGACACACATGCTCCCTGACTGACATGGGAACCTGGCCACAGGGCTGCTTCTTGCCTCCAATTGATTAAAAGCAGTACATTTCCTGCTCAGGACTCCTCACCAAAGTGGACCCCCATCAGCAGGAAAATGCTAAGACCGCCCAACCCAGTCCTGCGCAGGGTCATTCATCCGTGTACCAGAATTCTCTTCCTCATAAGACTAGCTAAGTCAGGTGTGATGGCACTCACCTGCAATTCCCATACTGAGGAGGCTGAGACAGGAGGATTACCACGAGTGTGAGGACAGCCAGGACTCCCTAGATTTTAAAAAAAGAAAGAGAGAATGGGCTGGAGAGATGGCTCAGAGGTTAACAGCATTGACTGCTCTTCCAGAGGTCCTGAGTTCAATTCCCCAGCACCCAAGTGGCAGCTCAGAATTGTCTGTAACTCTAGTTCCAGGGGACCTGACACCTCACACACACAGACATGCTGGCAAAACAGCAATGCACATAAACTAAAGTAAACAAATCATTTTTTAAAGAAAGAAAAGACTGCGGGATTTAATTGGATAATGCTTGCCTAGTGAATGTGTGGGCCCTGGGTGTGACCCGGTACTGCACTATCCCCTGTGACCCGGAACTGCACTATCCCCTGTGATCAGGTGCTGCACTATGACTTGTGATCCTTACTGCACTATGACTTGTGATCAGGTGCTGCACCATCCCCTTGTGATCAGGTGCTGCACTATGACTTGTGACCCGGAAGTGCACTATGACTTGTGATCCTTACTGCATTATGACTTGTGACCCTTACTGCACTATGACCTGTGACCCGGAAGTGCACTACCCCTTGTGATCCTTACTGCACCATCCCCGTGGATGTTTGCACGGTGATTTGTCCGTCAGTCCACAGTAAACTGTTTCCAGCTTGGACTACTTGTGAATGAGCTGCTGCAAGTCATACATTTGAGATCCTGTCCTGGATTTGAGAGTGCATACATTCAGAATGGGAACTGTGTCGTGTGATAGCCCTGTTCTCCTGTATGTGTGAGTGTGTGTGTGTGTGTGTGTGAGAGAGAGAGAGAGAGAGAGAGACCTTCAGGCATTGAAGAATTGCTTTTGCCATAATGTCTGCTACGTTTTACCCTGCCACCATAATGGCTGCTTCCTTTTACCCTGCCGCCAATACACAAGATTCTCATTCCTCTACACCCTCACTAGCACCTAATTTTCTATTGCAGATGATGACTGTTGTAGTTTATTATTCCTTTGTTTGCTCCGTTTTGATCTGGTTTGGAGTTGTTTTTCTGGTGTTTGTTTTTTAGATGATTTCACTATGTAACACAGGCTAGCTTCAAACTCCACAACAATCCTCTGGTCTCAAACTTCCAAATGCTAGGCTTACAGTTTCGATTTGCCTTACGCTAATGATTAATGATACCCTGACTCAGGTAAATAAATGTGAATAATGGGTTGGAGGGAGGTGAAGAGTACTTCCTGCCCCTGCATAAAGTGAGGCTCAGTCCCAGCACCCACTCGGTAGCTCACAACCCTCTGTAAACCCAGGTCTAGGGGGTTTTGGCCGCCATGGTTATCAGGCATACACACAGTGCACGTATATACATACAGGTGAAACACTCATACACCTAAAATATAAATAGATAAATCTGGGAGGCATTGAGACAGGGTTTCTCTGTTTAACTCTGCCCCTGGAACTCACTCTGTAGACCAGGCTGGCCTCAAACTCACAGAGATCCACCTGCCTCTGCCTCTGCCTCTGCCTCTGCCTCTGCCTCTGCCTCTGCCTCTAGTTCTGGGATTAAAGGTGTGTGCTGCCACTGCTCAGCATTAAATAAGTCTTTTTAAATGTGCGTGTTATTCCACCATATAACACATGACAAGCATGGGTGAGGTGACGAGTTCCATCCTCATGCCATTTTGCTGGTTGGTTGGTTATTCGGATATCTTTAGTTTGGGTTTTTTTTTTAGTCACATTTGTTTGTATTGGAGCGGATGGTACATATATACCCCAGCATGCGTGTGGAGGTCACAGGACAGCTTTCAGGACTTGTTTCTCTCCTTCCACCGTGAGGGTCCCAGGGATCACTGTAGGTCACCACACTTGGCAGTAGACATCTTAGCTACTGGGCCATCTCAGCAGCCCCAGGTGCATATCTCTTTTAAATTTTATTTTATTTATATATATATTTATTTACTGTGTATACAGCCTTCTGTCTACAGGCACCAGATCTCATTCAAGGTGGTTGTGAGCCACCATGTGGTTGCCGGGAATTGAACTCAGAACCTCTGGAAGAACAATCAGTGCTCTTAACCGCTGAGCCATCTCTCCAGCCCCTTAAATTTTATTTTGGTACTAGAGGTTGAGCCTTGGGCCCCGTAGAAGCACTCTACCCCTGAGCTCCATGCCCAGACCCATGTCGATCTCTTTTTTTCTTTTTTCCAAGAGAGAGTTTCACTGGTCTCAGACTCACAGAGATCCACCTAGCTCTGTCTCCTGGGATGAAGCCAGGAGCCACGGCGCCTGCTTGTGTCCATCTTCTTTATAGATGTTTACTCAGGTCCTTTGCCCAGTTTTTAATCAGATTGTTTCCAAGGGGGTGATTTATATGAGTTCTTTACATACTCTGAATATTAGCTCCTGTCCTTCAAATCTTTGTCAGGCTCTTACCCTCTCATATAATCCCTGACCTCATTATTTACAAGTCAACCAGCTCCAACGCCGTCCCTCCTGCCCCTTGCCACCCACTCCAGTCCCCATGCCCCCAAGTTTGCTCAAGCACACACGCGTGCACGTGCACACACACGTACACTTCTAGCTCTTTCCCGGCTTTCAGGGTCCCCTCGGCCTCCCTTGTCACTTGATTCTCAGCAGACAGTTCTGGCGTGTCTGCTTTGCGTGGGTCCCACACACAGAGCTCTGCACCCCCCACCCCCATCCGGCACTATGTCCCCAGTGCTTGGAACAGAGCCTGACACCCACTGAGTGCTCAGTGAAAGGTCAAATAGTTTAACACACAGAAAGGTTAAAATCGGAAGCAGTAGCAGACTTCTGTGGCACACTGACACCCTCTCTCACACACACCCTCTCACACACATCCGAATGTCCCCACAGTCCTTACGCACTTGGACTACACTGATGCCACACCAATACCCCCAGGCAGCCTGACTCTAGGACGCACAATCTAGACACACTTAAACACCAGGCCATGGAAATGGACCTTGATGTCCTGAACTCCTGGGCTCCTCTGGTCCTGTGGGCTTCCCTAGCCCTGTGTAGTCCAGTCTCCCAGTGGCCACTCCATTTCCAGTCTCCAGGTCTTGTGGCCCTCTATGGAGTGTTGGTTTTCCTACCCATCAAACCTATGAGGGCCACCTCCTCCAGGAAGCCTCACAGTCATGACTTCCACTGAGAAACTGGGGCCAAGGGACCTACCCCAGTAAGGTCCTTTTTCCTCATACAGAACACCTCAGTCTCTCCATCAGAGTCAAGCCCGAGGCTGATGCTCCTTCGGTTCTGACAAAGTCAGCTCTTGCCTTGTTACTCATCCCTATTGTCACTCAGGGCCACTCCCTGCGTGGGGCTTGAGCTTAGGCTTCAGTGGCTCAGGGCCAATGGCCTGCAGTTAGTTAATTGCTCAGACGGCGCTCTTGGGCTCCCAGTGGTATCCATGACTGTGGTCTCCCAAAGGGAGGCTGAGGTAAGAAGGAAGGAAGGGCAGCTAGGCTTCCCCTCGCTCAGCACCACAGGGTGAACTGAAGTGAGCTAGAGAGCAATGGACAGGAAAGAAAGAAGGGGAAAGGAAAGGAGGGAAGGAAGGAGGGAGAGAGAGGGGAAGAACGGAAGGAAGAAAGGAAATCATTTATTCATAAGGCCATAGGGTGGAGTCAGAGAGGCAGTCACAGGTGGGCAAGCACATCCCAGCAGGGGCCAAAAAAGACAACCACACACACAAACGTGGTCTGGCCCACCCCCTTCCTTCCCGAAGCTCTGGACCTGGTGTCTGCATCACGGCGGGGTGGTGCGATGTCCCCAGCTTGGCCTGCCCTGGGATGCCTGAAAAGCAGCCACAGGTTACAGATGAAGGGTTGGATCAAGACAGCAGACCACCGACTGAGAATTGGAGTTGGTGGAAATGGGGTGGGGGCCGGGGGCGTTAGAGTGAGGGTCTCACCCGAGGGAAGCTCAGCTGGCCATGATGTGCTTCACAAACGCTGTAAGGAGAGGGGAAATGAGAGGCTGGGGCTCTCGATGGGTAGCCAGGGGTGGGGCTGAGGGCACGACCGCTCTCCAGAAGACCCTTCCTTGGCTGAGTCTCCATGACTGCTCCCCAGAAGATTCCTGCCCCTTTGCCTCTCTTCCCCACTAGACTCCCACCTGCTGAGTTGGGTTACCCCCTGCTTACTCCCCAGGAGGCCCCCAAGCTGTTGAGCCCACCTTCATAGTTGATGCAGCCATTGGAGTCTTCTTGACCAGCCATCAATTTCTCCACTTCATCCTCAGTCAGCCTCTCGCCTGGCAGGAGTGGGAAGCTACGTCACACCACCCAGACATGTGACTGACGGGGGGGGGGGGGAGCTTATGGAAGCCTTCTGGATGGTGGGTTTGCTATAGCAGCCTTGCTCCTAAGGTCATGGCCAGCCATCATCCCTGTTTCCAAGGCCAGGATGGCCAATCATAGGTCAAGAGGTACAGGACCTTGAGCTGGCGATCTGAGCCCTCCTCTGAGCCTAGGCATCTTCATGTACGTAACTGTCCTCTGTCCCTGCCAGAAAGGCAGGAGTCCCCTGCCCCTCTGGTAGCAGTCTCTTGGGAGTAACCCTGAGGCTGGTAGAAAAGCCCGTGGAGACTTTGACAGATGACAGCGGAAGGGACAGAGAGACGCTTCACAGACAGTCGAAATTTTCTTCCCTTTGAGTGTGTGTGTGTGTGTGTGTGTGTGTGTGTGTACGTGCGTGTGTGTGCGTGAGCATGCATATCGCATTTTGCTTGCATGCATGTCTGTATGAGGGTGTCAGAGTCCCCTGGGGTTGCAGATAGTTGTGAGCTGCCATGTGGGTGCTGGGAATTGAACCCAGGTCTTTTAGAAGAGCAGCCAAGTGCTCTTAACCTCTGAGCCATCTCTCCAGCCCCATTTTTTTAAAATTTTCTTTCTTTCTCTTATTTATTTGAGATATGATCTCATGTATCACAGGCTAGCCTCAAGCTGGCTATATAACTAAGGGTGACCCTGAATTTCTCCTTCTCCTGCCTCCATCTCCTAGGTGCTGGTATTACACGCATGCACCAACCCAGGGCTTCCTGACCTCTAGGCAGCCACATTCTCAGCCAGAGTCTGACTGGACTGTACAGCGCTTTCACTGGTAAAGTACCAACCGTGACGACCCCACGCTGTATACACACAACACTCACACAAATGTGTGTGTGAACCCTGAGGCCAACATAGTGAACACAGCGGTTGTGTAATAAATATTTTCTGCTGGAAAAAGTCACTTTGATCTGGGCTTTGGTGGCTCACACCTTTAATCCCAGCACGCGGGAGGCAGAGGCAGTGGATCTCTGTTATTTTGAGGCCTGCCTGGTCTATAGATCGAGTTCCAGGACAGCCTCCAAAGCCACAGAGAAACCCTATCTCAAAAAACAAACAAACAAAAACCAGTCACTTTAAGGAGTTAGGTCAGATGCCTGGTGGTGGTAAAGACAGTGGAGGTACCTACAGCCCACGGATGTCACAGGGATGTCACCTCCTTAGCCACAAAGAATAATGAACGCCAGGACTATTAATCCCTGGGTACCTCCCCGCCCTATCTCCAGCGTTGTCCCTCCCTCACTGCGGTTCTTCTGGCCTTCCTTCAGCCACACCTAAATGGTATCTCTGCCTCTTACCTTCCTCTTACCTATCGTTCTATCTGTTTCCATTTCCCTGATGAGGCACCGACCCAATGGCAGGTGACACAAGGGTTTTCCCCAGGGTACCCCAGAAGGAGATGGGTACAGGGGAAGGCTGCCCTCACCCAGCGTGGCCAGCACGTGGCGGAGCTCTGCGCCCATGACTGTGCCGTTGCCCTCCTTGTCAAAGACCCGCAGCCCCTCCACGAAGTCCTCGTACGTGCCAGTGTCCTTGTTCTTGGAGATGTGCTGCAGCATGGGCAGGAACGTTTCAAAGTCCATCAGCTTGGAATTGAGCTCTGCAGACAGTTGGCCCCAAGGTCAGAGGATGGACAGGCACAACTTTCCCCTGTGCCTAACACGGAGGGGCCACGCCTCTCCCATGGCTCCGGAGCTCTGGGATGCATGCGCTGTGTACAAAGCATGCCACCACCCCAAGGCACTTGACGGTCTACTGAGAAATGCCTGGTTTACATAGACCTTTGTTATCCCAAGTGGAGCCCAAGGTGGGCTTGGTTCTTTACTCCTCTCTCTGTGTCTCTGTCTCTCTACAGGATCTTACTACCTATCTCAGGCCAGCCTAAAACTTACCAGGCTGGCCTCAAATTTATGGCCATTCCCTTGCCTTTACCATCCTAGTGTTGGGATTAGAGGTATACACTACAATATCTTTATTCTTTAGACTTGGAACATGCGCCACCCTGCACTGTTTAGGTAGTGCCAGGGACCAACCCACGGTTTCAAGTAAGCTAGGCAAGTACTCTACCAACTGAACATCCTCAGCACCCCTCCCCCTTCTTGAGATAATGTCTCACTCTGTAGCCCAGGCTATCCTGGAACTATGTAGCCTAGACTGGCTTCCAAGTCATGGGGACATACCTACCTCAGACTTTTGATTGTTGGGTTTGTAGGCCTATACTGCCATGCCCAGGTCTCATTTCTTATAGACCTTACCCTGTCTGTGCCCTGTAGACTCAGTTGAGCCCAAGAAAGGCCATCCCTTGACCTATGATGAGGGCCTGGGTATGTCACTCTTGGCAAGTCAAAGCAAGCACCAAGGTGAGGGAAGTTGTCACAGATCCACAAAGGGACGCTGAGGAGGCTAGGCCGGGGTAAAAGCAAGCACCCGTGTCCCCTGACCGACCATTGCACCAGTACGGATTCTGGTTAGTACTAGGGTCCATCCCTGTGGCAGGAAGGGTTCAGCATGCCCTTCCTGCTTGTCTCCTATCGCCATGGCCTGGTAGCCAGCTTCGTATCCTCGTCTCAATAGCAGGAGAAAATCAGGAAGCAGGTCAGTGAGGTTCCCACGATACCCAATACTCGCCCACCCTGTCACCTCCCCTGGAGCTGGCACGAACGGTCAAGGTGTGCTACCTTCCTGTTTTGGCTTCCCTAGGACACGGAGCACCTCTGCCTGCGTAGGATTCTGACCCAGAGCCCGTAGGACGTCCCCACACTGGCCGTAAGTGATCTTCATCTCGCCCTTGGGTGTGCGGTCAAACAGCAGGAAGGCTTCCTTGAACTCTGTGGGGAAGAGCAGTGAGCTCTGGACACTCCCTGGGGGATCCCACCCGACTCTGCACCCCACAGTTTGAATTGGGGACCCCTGGGCTCAGTACTGTGCTCACCTTCGATCTGTTCGGGCGTGAACTCGATCTGCAAAGAAGTCCAAAGACTGAGTGAGTGCCTTTGGGTCATCGTGGGCCACCTGGGCCTCAGGCCTTTGGCTGTGCCAGCTTGGCCTCATAAGCCTCTACCACCCAGGACCTCCTGCTGTCCACCTAGACACCCTCCTGCCGCAGCAACGACCCCACACACATCTGTTCAAACTAACGGCCTTGGGTCTATGTGTAAGCAAGTTGTGATACCAGTCAGGCCACAGCGGATATGCTCAGTGTCACAGGCTGACCAAGCTGACTTTGAGGGGAGGAGCAAGAACCCGGCTTCAGGCCAGAGGCTGTGTCAGCATGGAAGCATGTCTGTGGGTAATCAAATGAGCATGCTTGTGCACATATGTGTGTTTGTCCCTCACAGATCCCTTTGGGGCCTTCAGGGCTGGACACTAATGCTCAAAGCCCTGCCTGTACTTGGCCCCAAGGCAGCCCCCCCCAGCCCAGCGCAGCACAGAGATAGAGCTATGTAACATTCTGGGGCCACCCTGAGGTCGAGAGGCCTCCTGGGACCCAGGAGCCCCCTCCTCATCTGCTTCCAGGCTATTTTTATCACTGCAGTCACTATCCCCAAAGTCAAGGTCACGTCAGAGAAAGGAGCTGGGAGAAGAGGGCACGACTGGAATCGAGGGCCCCTCCACCCTCCATAGTGAGTAGCACTGCACAGAAGGATACTCTCTTCCTGTCACCTGCTGTGGTGGCCCTCCACTTTGGGGCTCAACCTAGTATTGAGGAAAACATCATTTCCGACTCTCTGGGAGCTCTCCATGGGAAAACCTGGGGAGACAGGACTCCCTGGCTTCTGAAAAAGGCTCTGTCCTTCTCTGCCAGCTGGGGAGAGAGAAGGAAGGGGAGGGGACCTCTTCACCTCCCTCTTTTGAGGCATAAATTTATGCCTGGTAAGATTGGACAAAGCCACCATGGGACTCAGGTAATTGGAGCCTTGCAAGGCATCCTGAGGACACATTCTGGGGCCTAAGGGTAACAGAGAAACAGGGAGCCAACTCTGGGGTACAGCAGTCTTGAAAGTGGGGGGCTCGTGGTCCCATTTCACAGTTGAGGAAGCTAAGGGTTAGAGCAACTAAGGTAATACAAACCCAACAGCCGTAGGCAGGTGCCTCTGGGAAGGGAATATGACCAGATGGAGGCTCTGTAAGGATGGCTCGGCCTGGGTGGATGTGTGTGGGTGGAGAGGGCTCCTCCACAGGCCCCTCGGAGCAGCGGTGGCCTCTGGCCAGCCGAGAACAGGACGCAGGCTGCGTGCTGCTATGCGGATGCCACAGGTGGCAGGCGTGGCTCGCCCTCCCAGTTTAGACTCCGGGAAAGACAACTGGGCCAGGACAGCTCTTGGTGCTCTTGGTCGTGCTCCACAACCAGCTTCCTGCATGACTTTCAGAGCCTCCCTTCCCAGCCTGTTCCTCCATTTTCCCAGCTGAAAGGGAAGCGGGGGGGGGGGGGTCTGCCAGCTCTGGGCTTGGTGATCTTGGCAGGGGTGAATGTCACCCAGCCTGAGCAAGGACCTGATTTCCCTTACACATCCCACCACCTAAAAATGCCTGACAGACCTGAGACCCCGTGGTCAGAGAAGGAAGAGACCTGTAGAGTGGGGAACAGCAGGATTTCCTAAATATGTAATCCGGAGAGAAAAACAAGGGGAGTGGGTTTTCAGAATCACCAAAAGTTATTTCCCAGTCCGGACTCTTAAGTGTGGGGACCTCTCAGGAGCCTCGGGGGGAGTCTCACCAGCTATCTGATCACCATCCCTCCTCCTTTGGTCCTGCGGATGTCTAAAACAAGCAGATCTTGTTTAACCTCTGCACAGAAGGTCCCAGCTTCTTTCTAGGGTCTTATCTGCCATGCCAAGTCCCACCCTAAGATCCACTCATTTGCTCTGTCCCTCCTGCTACAATGCAGTCCCTCACTCACCTTAATCTTGGAAGCATCAAACTCCGCTTCCTTGGGGCGCTCGGGCTCAGGTGCAGCCGCAGGTGCAGCTGCAGGGGCTGCTTTGGGGGCAGCAGCCTTGGCATCATCCTTCTTGGGCTCTGGCTTTTTGGGGGCCATCGGAGCTGTAATCACAGAGAGGAGGGAAGAAGGAAGATTGAACAGAGTGGGGTAGGTGAGCCTTCTGCCGCCCCGGGCTTTATCCTGCCCTAGACCTCATGACCCCAGCCCCACCCCTACCATGCACAATAGGGACAGGGCCATAAAAGGGCATTGGCTCTGCTCAAGGGGCTATTTTGGGTCCTGGAGAGGGCATTGTTCAGGCCCAGGAATGGGTTGGGGGAGGGGAGGGTGCTCCATTCCCTCAGTCACCTGTTGGGGAGAGGGAGGGAGAGGGAGACAGAGGCTATTGCTCAGCATGTGCTCTGAGCACACAGACACAGACAGACAGACAGACACACACACATACACACATACACACGTACACACACACGCGCACGCGCACACACACACAGAGCTACTCTTCTGCAAGCTGATACATTCCGGACAGGTAAAGATTAGAAAAGTGTGTGCTGGATGCTTTGCTCCATGGCAGGGGCTGCGGTGACCTAAGGGTCACTCCTGAGTAACACTTTAGACCTGGGCATCCCAGGTCCTGTGTTCAAGAGCAAAGGGAGGTAGGTGTGGATCTGTGTCCAGGCCTTCCCAGGTAGGGGATCCGGGCTAGGTGAGTGGTGGGGGCCTCTGGACATTTGCATGGGTTGTCTTGATGTCTCCAACGCCAGGGTCTGTGAGGGGCCGGCTGGGTCTGGGAGAAGGGTCTGTTTCCAGGTGTTCGTGTTCATGTACGTCTATGTGGGTCTGAGTGGGTGTCTGTGATGTGGCCTCTGTGTATTTATGTCTGGGTGTTTACATGTGCTGGTGTATGAGCGTCTAGCTACAGCAGCCAGCTGCAGCACAGTCATAGGGTCCCAGGGTCTCCAGGAACACCCAAGCGCAAGCAGAAAGGGTGGCGCTCCCTCGAGGACTGTCCCCCATGCTGGTTCAACAGCTCCTTCTACAGCTCCTGCCAACCCCTGACTAGTGTCTCGGGTTGTCTGGATGTCTCCATGCCAGGGTCTGTGAGGGGCAGGCTTTGCTCGTCTCTGCCCCCCCCCCGTGATGCCCGGTGTTCATCTTCCTCCACAGACTCCAGGGTCCAGTCTCTTGCTCGCCCCTAGTTCCCACCGCTCCCTCTGTCCCTCCCTGCTTGTCCTCCATTTGCCCTCTCTGAAACTTTCTGCTGCTCCTCCCACCATCCCATGCTCCCTTCTGCTCCAGGGGATCCTGTATCTCTGAGGGACCCCAAGGTGCTGGGCAAGGTTTGCCCCTGGGCTTCAATCTAAGATTCTCACCCCTCAGTTCCTACCCTAAGGTTCACCCCCCAGGGCGCAAGCAACAGTGCCCAGCCCCTGGAACCACCCCCTTGGTCCCCTGCCCTTGGCGGATGGCTATGACATAGCACAGCCTGGCTGGGCCACCACTTGGAGAAATGGAGAGACTGAGGTGGCATAAGGCCCTTCCAGCACAAAGTCAGAGAGTGAGGACATCTTGCAAACACATTGGGTTCTGTTCCCGCCTAGCGTCTGTGCATGTGGGGGGAGAAGGGGTGTTCCTAGTTATTTTTAAGTGCCTGAAGCCTTTGATAGAAACTTCAGAGGCAGTGCCTCCCGCCCTAGGCCCCAAGGGACTTCTCAGGCATGAAAAACGGTATAAATTCAGCTGAGACAAGGTACCAATGCTTCGTCCTAGGACAGCGCACCATCTTCCTCCTGGATCCTGAATCCCCTCACCTTGTCACTCAGCCTCCCGATGAAGGGATAGAAGTCCAGGGCTGAGTCCCCATCCCTGGCTGGAACACATTCCTCCCTTCATCTGGAGGGCAGAACACCCCACATCTGGAAATCTGACAACATCCGGGCCTGGGAGGGGGGGACAAGTTTTTCACTTTTCTTCCAGATGTTTGGCATGAGTATTGAGAAAGAGAGAAGTGGGGGAGGGTCCACAGAGACATCAGAAATACCACAAAGGAGAAGTCAGCCCAAGGGAGACACATACAACATACATACATACAACATACATGCATACATACGTACACACATACATACATACATGCATGCATAAATACATACATAGAGAGAGAGAGACCTCTGTACAGCCCAACTGCTCACACCTACTGACTCTTAGCACACACTCCAACACCCCAACCCTGGCATAATTGACTCTAGATGGTGGCATCATCTACCCACAAGGATAGCCAAGACACCACCCAGACCCCTTTCACTGACCAGTTTAAAGCTTAATTTCAGGACTGAGGATGTATACACAGGGTGACCCAGCCTTCCCACCCCATTTCGTTCGCCCTAACCCTGTCACCCTTTGGAAAGAGGCTCCGACAGGGGTAAGTGCCTAGCAGACTCATCAGGAACTGTGATCTGTGCATAGAGGCTCACATAGTCAGAGCCTCACGGTGCCCTCTTCTTCTCTCTAAGCTGGTGGGAGGGAGAGGTGTCTTGATCCCACACCCTTGTACATAGGGCAGCTGTGCTCATGGAGAGAAAGTATATAGAACTCCTTCCTTCCTCCCAGGGCTCAGACGGGGGCTAAGACTAGCCTCTGCTCGAATTCTGACTCTCAGGCTGCCCAGGCTTGTCCTCAGGAGTACTTCCCACACTAAGACAGGTACCCATCACCCAGCAGGGACTCTTCCAACCCCTACCAAGGCCAACTTCTACAGCGAATGGGCTAAAGCCAGGAGAAAAACCATGGTGGGCAGGTGGGCAGGCAAGGGAAGATGGCAGCAAGGACAGGCCCTGCCCATCCCTCAGCTCCCTGGTCCAAGATGGTGCTTTAAGCCCTCCACCAAAGACAGCTGAGCAGACAGGGTCTGGCGAGGCCTAAGGGGCCTAGAGAACCAAAGGGTGGGAGTCTGAATCCCACCCCCAACCAGCTCTGACGTCTGAGCCCTGGCCCAGCCGACGACAAGTCAAAAGCTGGGTTCTACAGTCCTGGGGTGAGGAGAGCAGTCACCTTACTTCTCTTTGCCTGACTTCTGAGAGGCCTGCGGATCTGGGTAGGAAATCCTGGGAAACTTTTTTAGACCCTTCCCGGTTCACCAGGCTGTTTCCTCTCCCTGGTGGCCCTGCTCACCCCTGAGACTCCTCTGTTCCCTCTTCCCCGTCTCCCCAGTCCCCATCCCTGTACACCTTAGTAACAGTTTGTTTCTTCTTTATCTGTCTTACAGGTGTAGCCGCCACTTCCGTGCGTGCCAGCTGTCCCAGTAGGAACCCCCTTCCACTGTTATGTGTCGCCAAAGCCTGGTACACAGCAGGTCCTCAGTAAACAGTGGCTGAACCAATGTCTCAAATTTCTAAGTTTGCCATCTCTCAAAGGCTATTAAGCCCCTCCCAACAGCTATGGAGGGAAGGTATACCTGTAATCGCAACATCCAGGAGGCAGAGGTAGGACATCGGTGATTACGCAAGTGAATCTGAGGCTAACCTGGGGTACATGAGACTTTATCTAAATCAATATATAAAGAAAGATTTCTTAAATTAAAGGCCAAGTGTGCTGTGGCTTTAATCCCAGCACTTGGGAGACTGAGGCAAGTGGAACTTCGAGTTTGGGGCTAGCGTGGTCTACAGAGCGAGTTCCAGGACAGCCAGGGCTACACAGATAAACCCCGTGTTGAAAAACCTAGATAGATAGATAGATAGATAGATAGATAGATAGATAGATGGATGGATGGATGGATGGATGGATGGATGGATGGATGGATGGATGGGGACTGGAGGATGGCTCAACAGTTAAGAGCATTTGCAGAGGCCCAAGTTTCAGTTCCTAGCACATCACACCTGCTTGTAGACGCAGCTCAAGGGGGTCGGACATATTTTGTTCCCCACAGGTTATATGTGTGACTCTCTCTCTCTCTCTCTCTCTCTCTCTCTCTCTCTCTCTCTCTCTCTCTCTCTCTCTCACACACACACACACACACACACACACACACACACAAATAAATCTAAAAGAAAAAAATTAAGTCCTAAGTTTGCCTCTGGAGTTGGGGAAAATGGAGGGACTTCCTGAAGACATATTCTAATGACCACAGAGCCCCCACACCCTGGACAGTATGGAGCCAAAAGTCCTCAAACCCACCTTCCACCTACTGTCCCCTCCTCTTCTTCCAACTCAGTCCAGGCGAGCTGCTCACTGCTCCTTGCTCCCTAGCTACTGGTCAAGACCCGGTCGCAGCCTAAAGGTAAGGGTGAAGTGATTCAGGTAAACGCTGACCAGTGATGGCTGGCCAGCAGGGGGCATAGAAGGGACGGGAACCAGCAACCTTTGGTCCCCAAACCCAAACTCTAGAATACTAACTAACTCAGACCCCAAAACTGAAACGTGGAAGCCTAAATCCAGACACCAGACCAAGGGTTCACAGCCTGAACCCAGACCCCAAAGTACAGCACATCTAGACCCAGGCCCAGGTCTTACACCCTGAATCCAGACTCTAAAACCTAGAATGCCAAACCTTAAACCCAGACCCCAAAACCTAGGATGAAGAATTCTTTTATAATTCCCCTTCAAATTTTCAAGACATTGTTTCTCTATGTAGTCCTAGCTGTCCTGGAAGCCACTAGGTAGACCAGGCTGGCCTTGGATTCAGAGATCCTCCTGCCTCTGCGCCCAGAGTACTAGGATTTAAGGCATGCACCACCATTGCATAGCAGGACAAAGATTTCTAACACCATATCTGAGATCCAGGATTCAAGACCCAAGACTTTAAATCCAAACCCTCGCCTTCGGACAGGCTGACAATGCCATTCCTCGTGGACACCCCCAGCTGCATGAAGAGGACAAGGCAGGCTATTGGAGAGTAAAGTCTCGGCAGTCGGTGGTGGGTGCTTGGCAGACGGTCCCACCAATGTTCAAAGGGCATGAGAAATGCCCCTCATTCTACCAGAGCCAGTCTGGGTAGCTAAGAGTATGGTGGCCACATGGGAAAGAGGGTTGACTGTCCCTTGGGCCCAAGAGCCAGAAGCAGAAGGAGGGTCAGGCTCCCCACATGTCCTTGTCCCCCAGCCACAGGCTCCACACATAGTACTGGCTTGCCTGGGCCCGCCCCTCCTGGCTTACAGCCTCTGGGCTGGGATGCAGGC